TTTCCACAAACCTGCTGTTCTCCCACCTCCACGCCTTGTGCTTCCTTCCACAAGATATTCTGAACTCCCTCCTCCAGAAAACCTTCTAGACCAATGGTCACCAAACATTTTGATCAAACACCCCTGACAATAAAAAAAAAAAATTGCAATGCATTTCTATTATGTGTATTAACTTGTTTATAATCTATACATGTACTACTGGACTAATAACTATGTACCTCATAAAACTCAGACTAAAAGAGAACTTAAATAAGGAAGAAAAAAAGATGAAATAATATTTGATCCTAGTGTTAATAGGAAGCCACTACAGTTTACTGAGTAGGGAAACATCATGTTCAGACCCACACTTTAGCATCTGTGTAGAAGATGGATTGGAGAGGGGAAGAAATTTGAGGAAGATCAAATAGGAGGTTACTGCAACTGTCTAGGAGGGAGGTGATAAGGCTCCAAAATAGGATAGAAGCTGTTTTGAGTAAAGAGAACAGATTCAAGAGTTTTTATGGAGGTAGAAACAGCAAGATTTAACAACCGATTGGCTATACAGAGTGAGGGAATATGAGAAGTTAAGAAGATAGGGGCAGCTAGGTGACACAGTGGATACAGATCTGGCCTTGGAGTCAGGAGGACCCGAGTTCAAATCCAGCCTCAGATACTTGACACTTACTAGCTGTGTGACTAGGGGCAACCCCAATTGCATCACAAAAAAAAAAGAGAGAGAGATAAGTTGAGAAGATGGATGACAACAAAAAAAAGTGGGGAAAATAAAAAGAGAAGTTTAGAAGATGGATTTTGGCGGAAAGGAAATGGATTATTTTGGACATGTGGAGTTTGAGATGCCCATGGGACTTACAGTTCAAAATGTCTAATAAGCAGTTACTGAAATGGGCCTGGCATTCAGCAAAGAAATTATTGCTGGACAGATCTGGGAGTCACCAGCATAAAAATGATAACTGAACCCATGGGAAAGACTGTATACAGAGAGAAGAGGATCCAGGACAGAACTATGGGGAACACTCAATTAGAAAACAAGATATGGATAATAATCCAACAAAGGGAACTGAGGAGTGACCAGAAAATTGGGAGAATCAAGGGAGCAGTATTATAACAATACAAAAATGACCAAGTATTCAGGAATAAAAGGTGTTCAATAATATCAAATCTACTAGACAATCAAGAAAGATGATGATTGAGAAAACTGTTTGGCAATTAAGGTATCACTGAAGAGAACAATTTCAACTCAGTGAGGAATCAAGGATAAGGAAGAGGTTGAGAATCGGGGAGCCTGGAAGATGTAAACTTAGAAGAAGGATAATTTGGGGAGGAAAGATAAGATAATGGCAAATTATCCATGTCTTTCCATCCTATGTTACTCACTCTCCCAGAAAAAAAAGTAAGAGGGATAAAGGGAGATATGTGGTTATACAGCTTCAGAAGCTGATGGGGCCTAGCTTAGGTTAAATTATGATCCCCAGTGAAGGGCAGAAGCAGAAAGGGGGAGTGGTGAGGGAAATACTGCAGCTGTGTTGGAGTCAAGCTACTATTGGCTACTGGAGGGAAGGCAAGGTTCAACCCCTCTTCCCACCCTGACTGGCTGATTACCTACCCTTGGGGTCAAGCCTGGTGCTCCCTGGAATAACTCTAGGCCTGCACTTGGAAATCACTCTTCTAGACTACAAAAGCACACATCTCTTTTTCCAAACTCCTATTACATGTAGAATCTATCATAGTTTAATAAAAAAATCACAGAATATTAGAGTCTCACCCTCCCATTAGCCAGAAGAGAAAATATGACTTGCCCAGTTGTCAAGTGCCTTAAGCAAAAGTGGCAGAATTCATCTGAACAAGCATTTTTAAAGCAAAATTATGTGCTACTTGCTGGGGATACAAAAACAAAAATGAAACAGTCCCACTCCTCAAAGAGCTTACATTCTACCTCAGGAAAACAACAGTTATGTAAGTACATAGAAAATACTTTTTATCTGGGCTTGACCCCAGGTTTCCTGACTGCCAATCTAGTGCTCTTTCCACTGCACCATGCTACTTTCTAGAGGAAAATTACCAATCCACAAGTATCTATTTATTAAGCATTTATTCCTCAAAGAACTTAAGTTCTAATGGGGAAGACAACATATATACAAATATACGCATAATAACATGGAAAATGAATACAGGGGAATAGGGGCTTCACATTTCCTCTCCTAAACAGAATAAAAGCTCTTTGAGGGCATATCTCACAACCCATGGTTATCTTGCAAGCAGCTGTCACATAATTAACTCTTGTGGAATTTAACTTATCCTTACCATCACTAAGCATTTATTAAGCGCTTACTATGCAACAAGTTCCAGAAATACAAGCAAAGGCAAAAACAGGGGCCCTGTAGTCCAGGGGGGTGGAGGAGACCAAGCATGGGCCTACAGCAAGAAGCCTGAGGGAAAATACTCTAGGCATGGAACAGCCAGTGAAACAGAGGCAGGAGGTGGAGTTGCTCGTGTGAGAAACAACAAACAACAAAGATTATATCACTGGGTCCTAGAGGAGATGGAGGGAAGTGCAAGACTGGAAAAGGAAGGATTTTAAATGTCAAACAGAGGATTTTTTGTTTGATCCAAGATGTAATAGTGAATCATAGCAATTTACTGAGAAGGAGATGGAGTGTAAGAATCTAAACCTGCTCTCTGGGAAAATCAATTTAGCAATTGAGTGGAGAATGGATTGAGGTAGGGAGACCAACCAGTAAGGTACTGAAATGAGATTAGAGCTTGTGGCATCTGAGTGACCATCAAGAAGGAAACACTTATGCTGTGATGGTGGAAATGACTAGACTTTGCAACAGACTGGATACCTAGGGTAGGATGGACGAGTTGAAGATGACACCAAGTTTGCAAAACTGAGTTATTAGGAAAATAGTGGTACCTTTGGCAGTAAGCGGAAAATTTGAAAGAGGGAATAATTTTGCAAGAAAGGTAGTAAATTCTGTTTCAAGTATGAGATGTCTACAGGACATCCAGCTGGAGATATCCCACAGGAAGTTAATGATGGGAGACTGGAGGTCAGGGTTTGTGCTGGATAAATAGATCTGAGAATATCTTTATAGAGAAGGCAACTAGATCACCAAGTGAAAATAGTATAGAGCAGGGTTTGACAAACTAAGAGCTTGGCACCGTGCTAAACAGCATCAGGTAGGAAGAGAATCAGGTGACAGAAATGTAAAAAATCTAGAGAGCAGTGAATATCCAGAAGAGGGTGATCAGCAGGTTCAAAGCCTTCAAGGAGGATTAAGAAAGAGATTAAATTAAGCAATTCAAAGATCATTGCTAACTTTGGAGAGAGCAGTTTCGGCTGAACAATGAGGTTCAAAGCCAGACTTGGGGGAGAAGAGAGAATACAAAGTGGAAGCACATATTATAGACTGATTATAAACCGCTTTCTCAAGTTTAACTAGGAATGCAATATAGGTAGCAGAGATGGTTCGAGCAAGTGAAAGTCTTAAGGAAGAGGGAAACATGGTCTTTCTAAACAGCAGGACATTACATGAGGAAAGACTGAAGATACTTAGTGAGTGGGGATAATAGAACAGACAACATGCAGTAGAAGGCAACTGAGGTCGCAAATTGAGGAGGCTGCCTGGTCAAGGGCTACCTCTTAGAGAAAAAAAGATGAAGGAGGAGATAACAGGAGCAGACATCCGAGAGATGGGAAATGAGGCAGAGGGACAAAGAGAAAGTTTTCTGCAAGGCAAGGTCCTCCACTTCCAGGGTAGGAGGAGGAGGAAGAAGAGTCATGGGAGGCTTGAGGAAGGATGAAAAGATTTGGAAAGGCCATTAAGCATCTGTAAAAAGATTGCCTTGATCCAGAAAGCACCGGGGTGAGAATTTATAACAAATTCGTGTTTGACCCAGAGTGCAAGATTTCCTGATTTTCTCCAGCTTCCTTCGGCAACACGTGTGTGGAAATCGAAGGCTCACGGTGGGAGTGACCCGAGGCTGCGGCAGAATAAGAGCGCCGCGTGAAGTTCATCATGCCCACCAAGGGATCGGGATGGGACCGGAGGGAAATGTGGCCACTGCAGGGACATCCTCTCCGTCCCCCCCCCAACAAACGCCGCCCCGCCCCCACGGTGGAGGACCGGCCTCCCTGACTCCCCCGGTGGGGCTCGCTCACCCCGAGGCCCCGCAGCCGCCCCAGCAACAGGTCCTCCTCGTCCACGGCGTCATCGCCGAACACCAGCTCCTCCAGGCACCGCTCCACCTCCGGCTTGTCGGCGCCCAGGGCCAGGCGGTGCAGTTGCTGGAGCCGCCCCTGCTCATCCACCGAGGAGCCGGGGCCAGGCCCGCCATCAGGCCGGGGAAAGATCTTTTTCCGGACCGAGTGGGCTGACTTAGCGACCTCCCGACTCCGACCGCGGCCCCGGCCCCGGCCCCGGCCCCGACCCCGGCGCAGGCTCCCTCCCCGGTTCCAGCCCCGGCCGCGCTTGGACAACACGTTCCTATCCGGCGGCATGGCTTAGCCGGGGACTCTCGGAGAGAGAGAGACCTTAATACGCAAGCTCAGCGTAGCCTCTATTTCCGCAGCGCGGAGGCTGATGGGGTGTACTTAGTCCCTTCGCACGTGACCCAACACTCTTTCCCTACGTAACCTCCCACTCCCCTCGCGAGCCCCTCCCCACGTGACACTCCCTTAGTAAGACCTCATCCCAGCGGATGTAGGGGGAACGATGTCGAAATGGTTTTGATTGACGCACCCTGCGAATCCAAGCCACAAAAGAGAGAACTGGACGAAAAAGAAATGGGTAAATGTGTTTTAATGTCCACCTGCCCAACGCTCGGCGTGATTTGGTTGCTCGGCCTAACCCCAGCTTAGCGACTCTCCAACCCCCTCCAGGTTGGTAGCGCCGGGAGAGTACGGGGCCTGTCTAGGGTCTAGTACAGGAAGGGAGGGAGGGCAAGGGGGAAGTGGGCCAATCGGGCCACGGGTCACGGCGCAGGCGCGCTGGGCAGGGAGGGCTATGTTAATGTTGTTGATATCTTGGGGCCACCCGAGTTAAAAGAGGTAGGGGTAAAGTCTTGGGGGTCACTGGAGCCGCCACGACGAGTCTGGGCTGAGGCGGGAACCCTCCTGCAACTGCTGCCCCGGGGAGAGGCGCCGGCCCCCGCCGCGGGGAGGGGGCTCGGCGGACCTGGGGAGCACAGCCCGCCTCTAGCCCATGAGGCCCTGATGGAAAACACAAAGGATCTGGTGAGAGCGGAACGCGGCGGCGGCTTTGTGTGGAAGCGGACGGGGTTGGGTGCGCGGCGGAGCGCAGCAGGCCCCCCGACGGGGCCCCCGCCCCCTTGGCTCTCCGCTCACCTGCCCTGAGGGCCGTTAACGGCTCCCCGGAGCCGCCCCTTTCCCCAGGAAGAAACAGCTTGGGAAAAGTTTGAGTCTGCGGCTGCGCTTGGCTGGGGGTGGCCTTGGCCGAGACCAAGCTCTCTGCCCGGCCGCAGCCTGGAAGCCATCTCCGCCCCCACCCCCCCGTCCCCATCATCCGGGGCTGCGGGACGGCCCGCACGTGGTGGTGGAAACATATCAAGGGGGCGGGGTGCGGCGTGGGAACCAGGGCATCTCCCACCTCCGGGTGTTGCCCGAGGCGTCTGGGAAGAGGGGGGGGGGGGGAGAGGAGGGGGCTGAGGAGGGGGTGTGTGGGGTAGACCAGGCTTCTTCCTGGGGTTTGTCAAGCCTTAGGTTTCACGCATGTCCTCATCCCGACCCCGGCTGACCTAGATAACACTGAGTTGGCGTGAATTAACGGGCGGGGGGGGGGAGTGGAGTGGGGAGTGGGTGGAAAAATCAGTCAGTTACTAAAACATTTGTTAAGAACCTACTGTGTGCCAGGTCCTGTGATAAGCACTGGGAATAAAGAAAGCCAAAAAGCAATTGTAGCTTTCAAGGAGCTGATAGTCTAAGGAAGAAAACAGCACGCAAAGAGCAGTGTGTAAACGTGATAAATACAAGATCAGTTGAAAATAATCTCACAGAGAAGGCACTAGATTCTTAAGAGAAAGAGAACGTGAAAAGCAAGCAGATATGGTTAACGGAAAACTTTACTGGGTCCCTTGGGTTCCAGGCTTCTCAAGGGAGGATTTTTTTGTGGGAAACATACAAGCCTCAGGAGATACTTGCAATCCTCTTCTGAGGTGTTGTCTCCCAGATCTTACTTCCTCCCCATTTTTCACCCACAAAACACAAGTTATTGTTGCCTAAGTCATTTTTCTTAATCTCTTTGCTCTCTAAGGAATCCATCCTATTCACAGGTAGGGGACTGACTGGACCAAAAAACTGCCGTCCATAGAAGCCAATCCTCCTTAGAAGAAACTAACTAATCTGCTTTCTAATGTGGCTCTGCCCAGGTTCTTCAGAGTAAGAGTAAGAATACAAGTTTTTAAAATCTTTCCCCCCACCCCAAACACTTTCTCCCAACATTTTACTATTTGCAAAACGACTTTTAATGATCTTCACAGCAAGCTAGAATATTTGCAGAACAACCTTTAATGTTCTTCATAGTAAGTTAGGGTATTTACAGAACTGCTTTTAATGATCTTCCAAGAAGCAAGGTAGAGTATTTACTGTTTTATATATGAATTCAGTCTAAAGAGCTCTAATTTGTTGTTTTTCATATAAGAATTTTCTCTGACTTAGTGAACAGTGCTATCTCTGAAGTCAAATCATTTCACCCAAAGTAGGGGTGGTAGCTGCTATGTAGAAATGCTTCAGTAGATTTTCTCTTCCCAATTTGAAAGTGTGGAAGAAATCTGAGCATGTACATGTGAGATATTAGTTTGTTAATATCTTGTTGGGAGACATTTCTATGAAAACTTCTAGTTTGGAATTTTCGTACCTTAAAATATCCCTAAAGTTTTAAGTAATGTTGAGTTCTAGGTTGTTTTCCTGCTTTGCTTTTAAGATGAACTGTGAGAACTTAAGATAATTGACTTACTAGACAAAAAAAAAAACTGGTTTGATACATAGTTCAGGAAGTCCTGCTTCACTTGTGTTTTTCTCTCATGCTTGTCTTATATATTGACCATAGCTTTAGCGAGTATTTAATTGTTTCTGCCCCTTCGGTTTCATCTAGAAAATTCACAAGCTGTGGTCTTCATTTCTTAATGATTTTAAAACTACGTATTATGTTAGTTTAAAGCTAATACCAGCTTTAGTTTAGAGGGAAACAGTTCCATGTAATATAATGGAGAAGACAACATAGAAGGGACATTTCTACTGCAGATCAGATGCAGTAGCACAGGGATCTTAATAGGGGAGTGGCAAAACAGATGGGAGTGTATCTTTAGCATTATTGCCATTGATAGAAATTTCATTAGTGCCAAGGACTTTGATGTTGAAACCTTCCTTTGGGGGCTTTTAATAACTATGGTTGCTCAGTAGGCAGGGGCTGGAACAGTTGCCAGGTCTGTTCCTCACAAAGTGCCCTGGACTGAAGTTGGGGGGGGGGGGGGGCCCCCTTCCCCTTTAACTTTTGGCCCCGGGGTCCTGGGCTACTTTCGGCTGTGTCCAAGAGAAAGTAGTGGTGGGGGGGGAGGGGGGTGCTCCCCGGGGGGGGGGGGGGGGGGGGGGGGGGGGGAGTGCACAATTATTCTTGGGTGTCCTTGGCAATTGAAAGGCATTCCTCAGTGGAGGAAGCAACAAAATTCTTACAGGTAGCAGATCAGTATAATTGGAATATTGGTTCCACAACTTTCTTAACTATAAAATATTTGATTAGCTTTTGAAATTTGGTATTTTTATTTAAAATTTAGAGCGTTACTTCAAGAAAATTCAGAAAAATTTATATTAATCACAAGAATTAAAATCTGACAATGACACAAAACAGTTTAACTTGTTGCTGTAACTGGAAAGCTTTGTAACAATAAAAGGAAGATTAAAAAATACACAAATACCCCTCTACTTCCCTTACTCCCTGGCTTACTTACCAAAAGCCCAATTGCAAGAATTACTAATTATCACTTCAATATATGACTGGAATAAACTTCTAAGAATTTCCTTTCTTTTTTCTTTTTTTTTTTTAAATTTAGAAATTTTTGCCTTATGTGCTGGAACCCACAAGAACTGAGAAACAGTAAAATGAAAATCTATGTACAAGTTTCAGAAATAAAGTAAAACTCAGTTTGGGCAGGAACAGACTGGTCAGTAGGAGGAACACTGGTCTAGAGACCTGGATTCTATTCTCAGCTCTGTAGCTAACTAGCTGTATGCCTTGAATTGTATGTAAAAATAAAGGTATTGACTAGATGTTCCCTAATGTCCCTTCTAACTCCTGAGTTCTATAATTTTATGCTCTAGCATTAATAATTTAGCTCTGATTTCACTGTAATCTAAACTTTGCTCTAAAAATGTGGCTAGAATTGTGAAGTTGGAGTTTAAATTCTACTTCAGCTAGGTCACCCTAGTCAAGTCACTTAACTTCTCTGAAACGATTTCTTCATCTGTAAAATGGGGATTAAAGTACCATTGACCTCACAGTTATAGGTATGAGACTCAAATGAATCCATGTATGTGAAGTGCTTTACAGAACTTAAAGGGCTGTATAAAGGCAAGCTAGTGGTATTCCTGGGATCTAAGTTAGAAGGGACCTCAGGTCGTCTAATACAACCCATACAATGAGCTGGAATCCATTCTATAACATCTCTGACAACAGGTAATCCGGGTGCTCCTTGAAAGACCTCCAAGATGGGGAGCCTGCTATCTTAAAAATCAGGTCATTGTACAGTTGAACTGCCTAAAATGTTGAGCTTTTCCTTCTTATAACCTGAATTTTGCATCTCTTGAAGTATCCACACACTGCTTCTAGTTCTGCCCTTCAGAGCCAATCAAGAAAATCCTGCTGTCATTCAACCTGTCAACTCTTAGATGGCAGATTTTTGTGTCTTCCCTACTTCTTACCTCAGAATTAAACATCCCCAGTTCTTCAACTCATTATCATATGACTTGGTTTCAAATTACCATTCTTTGGGTCCAGTTATTTAGAAATTACTTTGGCAGGGCAGGAGAGTGAAGAATAAGCATTTATTAAGTGCCTACTACGTTAAGTACTGTGCTAAGTAGTTTACAAAGATTTCATTTGATCTTCACACCCACCCTTTGAATTAGGTGCTTTTATGATCACTCTTTTACAGTTGAAAAAACTGAAGAAGACAGGATAAGTGATTTACCCAGGATCACACAGTGTGTGAGGCTGGATTTGAACTCAGGTCTTTCCGACTCCAGGTTCAGTGCTCTTATCCATTGCTGCTACCTAGCTGCCATCAGCTAGGCATTTAGGTAAATAAGCATTTACCTAAATGGCATTTAATAAATACATATTATCTACCAAACACCAAGGGCACAAAAGCAAAAATGAAATTGCCCTCAACATTCTGTTGGGAGACAACTCGTACATAAGTATATACAAAACAAATACATGGCAATGGGGTGGAGAGGGAGGAAGGGTTTTAAGAGAAGTAGGGATTCTGGGACAGAGATGAGGAGGGAGTACATTTCAGACCAATTGAGTGCCTGCTTCCAGGAAACGTCAGAAAGGGTAGTTTTGCTAGACAAATGAGTCTGTGAAAGGGAGTAAGTAATAGATATAAGACTGGCACATAGTAAGCTCTTAAAAAATGCTTGTTGATGGATTATATAGTTCAAATCTACCTCCTTGTGTTACAATTTCAAATCTATTTTGTTCCTCTGCTGTGTGACCATAAGTTCTTACTGTCCCTCTTCCTATGAATTTCTCAGCCTCTTTACTCTTATTCTTAAGGTACAATCTTTTACCTTGGTATCTAAAGAGTCTGTGTGGACAGTTTTCTCTCCATCTCTTGGGGGGGGGGGGGACACAGGCCTCCACTCCTTCACTCCAGCCATTGTTCTTTTCCCCTTCATCCCCAAGAACTTTTGACTCTATTCCTGGTGCCACCCTAAGCTCTGAAAGGCACTTTTTTTTTCTTTTTTTGCTCAGCAGTGGGGTTAAGTGACTTGCCCAGGGTCACACAGCTAGTAAGTGTTATGTGTCTGAGCCTGTATTTGAACTCAAGTCCTCCTGACTTCAGGGCCAGTGCTCTATCTACTTCACCACCTAGCTGCCCCAAATATTGCCTGAAAGGCACTTTTTTTTTCTTTTTTAGCTCACCCTAAGCTCTGGAAAGTGAGCTTTCACCTTATCTTCCCAGGAACCAGGCCTCGGGATCACTTTTTCAGCCATTTCTAAACAAAGCTGCTACTCACTTATCTTCCCCTTGTTCCTCGCTCCCCTTTATATGGATATGGACTGTCTGGCTCTTCTGGTATTTGTATCCCTAGTATTTAACATAATGTTTGACACATAGTAAGCACCTAATAAATGCTTTGTCATTCATTTCCCTTTCTTTTCAAGACCCTCCTGCTCAGAATCCTAAACCTTTACGCAATAATGCTCTTTCTGGTCTTTTAATGGACTCTTTACCTTGACATCTGTGAAAAACCTTGTCACACCAGCATGTCAAGCCCTGCCCTAGAAATCTAAATCCCTTTCCCCAGAAACTTCTTAACTACCTATTCACATTTCATATCTTTCATTCTCTGAAGCTCCTTCTTAAGCAGCAGTGATAACAAATAATACCTATTTATTTTTTGATCCATTAGTAGGAGACTTCTGCCAGTTTGCCTCATATGGGAAAAACTCTAAAGAAATCCAGCTTCCAACCACTTAACACCTCCTGCTTCCTCAGCTCTTCCCTCTTGTCTTTTCTCATCTGTGCCTTCCAGCCCCTCCCTGCCCCTCTAATGCTGACTCATTCTTCCTTCCAGATGCCCACAGTATGGCAGGCATTGCTTTGCTAGTTGCTTCTTTGTGTGCCTTGTATCTTATCTTCCTCCTCTTCCCCCCCAAGGTTGTATAAGTTTATTAGAGTCAAAAAGTATGATATACTTCCTTGTGCCTCTGATAGTGCTTAACATAGGCCATAGTCTCCAAGAATATGAGCCAGAAGGAAGCATCAAGCTAGAACCCCCTTCATTTTTCAGAGGAAGAACCTCAACCCAGAGATGTAAAGAGCTTGAACGTGGGCCCCCTCCCTCTCAGTCAGGTGCTCTTTCACTTACGTCATTCTCCTATGTGACTTGACCTTTAGACTCTCAAAGAACATTAACAGTTTTTGCTAGATACCAACTATTGTATATACAAAAGGTGACTAGGAATTTATAAAACTAAAACTTCACTTATTAGCCATGGTCATCTGATCTAAAAATCCCACATTTTACAGATGAGGCTGTCAAGTCCAGAGAGCTCTGGTGACTTGGCTTTGGCCTTGCTAGCATAGCAAATTTCGGAGATAAGCCCAGGGCTTCTCACTCTAAATTCAGGGCTCTTTTCACTAGACAATGCTAGCACT